AAAAAAAAAAAAAAAATGACGGGAAATTTTATTTTATCGATTTATTGATCTTAAAATTAAGCTTAATATATGACTTACATAAAAGTCAAAATTTGATATTGAAATGTCATTTCGTTGAACCTCGAAAATTACTAAATGATATGATCAATATTGAAGAAGTTAGTTTTCAAAGGGTTTTGAATGTCAAAAACATAGGTAATAAGTAGATCAAATTTTTTAATTCAAATCATTAAAAAAATGTACATAACAAATCGGTTGTAATTAAAATTTGAGACACACACAATGATCAATTATGAAAAAAAATGAAAATTTTGTTATGATATTCACATCATTACATCATTACGCCACAAAATGTTATACCCGAATATTCCAACAACAACATTTAATATTATGTTAATCTTAAATCCAACAACCGGTGGCCTGTTTTCCTACTGTCCTCCTATACCTTAGCTAGTGTATTAATCTATAATTATGTTATATATTACATTTTGATACTAATCCTAGTTAATTTTTTACTATACAATACGTATACATTTATGCATAACGACATAACGTGATGTTTTAGTTGTAATCGACACCATTATCACTATAAATTATGATTTCTATAAAGGGGTGTCAGTGCTTGAAATTTAATGCTTTAAATAACTTTATTAAATACATTTTTATTTCAACTATATGTTACATTAATAATAATTTTACAATTCAAAATATACCTATTGTTAAAATATTTATGAAAATAAAATACACTAATTTAGTGTCTGCAAAAGTAAAATTGTAACTGCATACTAGTTACGGTTAGGTTAAGCGCTATTAACTTAACGATAAAAGTTTTTATATATGAATTGCAACTTGAGTTTTAGTATCTATGTTACCGGAAAAGATGATAATCAGTTAATATCGATAATGACAATAATGCCTGATTTAACAAGGAATTGTCATAATTGAAAAGTAATTGACGTTAGTTCGTAAAAAAGAATACAATGATGCTAAATATTGCAATATTATTAAAATATTAAATACATTAATAATTATTTGTTACAGTAGGGTAAATTACTATGACACTTAGAAGTTAGAGTTACATAATTTTGTAGACGCACAACAAGCACATCTATCAGTTGTACGTAGTATTTTACAGTTGCATCTCGTAAAATCTTGTAACCCAGAAATGCTGTAAAGGCAGATGATTGACAAAAATAACGTCATACTTACGTATGTTCCTAAATTATCATATTTTCCGGTAACATCTACATTATATTCAAAGGAATGGTTAACTTAGTGACTTTTGAGTTACATCTGAGTTAGAAGTATAGGTACCTAACTATAGTAACCAGTAGTCGGAGCTGGATAGTATCTTAGATAATAGTTTTTATAAGATACAATTGTATCTTGTATCGTGTATTAAAATACTTTTTTGACTTGCATCCAAAACCAAATTAAAAGGTAGGTAAAATAAGCAATTGCATACAGCATAAAAATAATTTGGCCCATAATTGTATTATAAAAAACTAAACATTTTAATATTTTAAATTCAAAATAAAATAATTTATTTTCATAGTTATGATTTTATGACAAGTTATTATATACACGTAATATTATGTTTTTCAAATTATTTATGAATGTTATGATCATATTAATTATATCAATTATCTCATTAATCTTATTAATTCATTTTATTTGATAGGAATAATGAATACCTTAATTTTAAACTGGTATTATTTATGAATTCTGAAACGATATAGGTACTAAGAACATTTAACATTTGTAGTAAAAGCTTACAAAGTGTTAACATTGATTTGTGTACAGTAATTAATTTGATTGAAAGTTTAAAAAGTGTTCTTGACCAAATTAGAGAAAAGTGAAAGAAAATGAATTTAAATGTATAAAATTAACTGTGAATAAACAATATAAATCAACTGAAAATCATAAACGTAAAAAAAGAATATAAAACTTCATAGATAAAGAATTATTCAAAGTTAAAACATTATATATAATAATCCATAAATTAAACAGCGCTTTACAAATTTACAATAAAGAATTGATGCATACAAAAGAAGTGAGAAATAATTTTAGATTGTTATTAAAATTTTTAATAGTAACACTTTTAATAAATTTACAAATTTAAATACAATGATTTTAAATTTTAACGTTTTGGAATGCTTTCCTAGTGTAAAAAAATCTTTATGGTTATTATAATTTTACCAACTCATCTAGCACACCATCGCCAAATCATACAAATTATTAATTTAATAGACTACTGAAACAAGTTTAAAGAATAATTACAATTAAATATTTAGTGATTGATTCACCTGGTATATATCTTTAGTTAACATTATTAGTAAGGCTGCAAATTTGTAGGAAAGTGCATTTTTTTTCTGTGATAAAGATACATAGCTTTGCAAGTATATAATTTGAATTATGTAACAACACAAATCCATACATGAAACTTTTATTTTGCAGTTTTTTGACATTTTAAATTTTTTAGGACACATTTACCTTTTTTTGTTCGTTTTCCAGTATTTTTAATTAAATTCAATCATTTTTAAATAAATTTTTATGCATGTAAAATGTTATGTATTAAAATATGTAAAATATCCAATAACATCAATCTTATAATATAAAAATTAAATTAAATACCATTTTAAGTGTATTTTATACTATAATTTTTGACATTTTATATTGCATTTTTTAAGGTTTTTACTGTATTTAATTCATAGCCCTAGTTATTAGGAACATTTGTAGTTGGTACTATAATACTTAAGTAACAAAATATATATTAAGAGATAAACATGTTTCCATAATACTTATGTTTATGTCCACCTTTCTTAGATAATTTTTAATGTGTAGAATATACTACAATTAAGACCTGTTATTTTTTATAATATTGCTGTAATAGTTTTTTTATTTCTAGTAAGTATTTGTAATATTCCATCAACGAGGAGTTTTTACTGTTTTTCAGTACCTACAATAAATTAATATTAATTTCAACTTTTAACCTTATATTTATTTAACATGAAAAATAAAACAAATTATAATGAAAAATGTTGAGTTGTGATATTAATGTGAATTAAACGCTTGAACACAAGAGGTTACTGTTATACCATACGTGGTTATTATAAAAACCGGATAAGTAAAATTGAACAGTCTTGTGAGGCTCACACGTTGGGTATAGTAGGACAATCCCTCACTATATATATACAAACATAATTTAATACATAAAAAAAAATTAAAGTTGAACATTCAACATAATATTATACATGAGAAAAAATTTCAAATACACAAAAAAAAAAAAAACAAATATTATAGGAGAACTGCTTCTTCATGATTGCGCATAAGGTCCAATTTCTCTTTCAACATATCCATCAATACGATGACCGGTGTTGCTCAAAAACATCAATTGTTTTTAACTTAAATTAAAAAACACACAGATTTACTTACTCATTTCTTAAATATTGTTGAACATATAAATCACAACACATATAACAAACATTTAGGACAAAGATGCAACATAAAGAACACATCAGACTTTCTGACTCACGAAGGAAATCCCATATATTGGGGTGTCGTCCCATTTGCGAAAGTAATGTTGAATGAAATGATTCTAAGTAGTTGTTCGTACGATAGTCTTCTGCAAAAACGCTGATTAACTCTGGACCAACCTGGAAAAACCAATAATGATCAATATATCCAATTAAAAAATTTCTCATACCCTGCTCAACTTCAGGAAATTGTTGAACATACTGCATGATAGCCCTGAAACCATCATACATACAAAACCGAGGACATAGAGGATGACCCCTAGCGGCAGGCAGATGAGGCAGTGCAAGAACCATTCTGAAAACACGAGCTGCATCAGGATTCCTCTTGACTAAATCCAAAACACCATTTAATTTACGATGACAATACCGTACAATTGATTGGGTATAATGAAACCAGCAACACCCCAATCTGCTTTCTGGAAATGATTGTTGAACTGCATTCATAAGTCCTTTTTCAAAATCTGTAACAAACCGAATTAAGTTATAGTTAAGAGGTAAAATTTGCCGAATAATATTAAATAATGTTATGTATGTTTCTTCTGTCCGACTTCTTAGAAGAACATACACCATTGGGAACGACACATCTTTAAATACCACTTGAAAAGTCAGAAAACTTTTCAAGTCTACCGGGGCAGCGGGAACAGTTTTGAATGTTCCATCAATTCCAACTGTTGTAACTGTGGCCAATTCTTCTCGGTATCTTCTAATTGCATCCAGGTTTGCAAAAATAATTCCTTCGCTTGTTCCATTTACCACTAATTCTTGTTGGAAAAATGCAGACGGTGGTGTTTGAAGGGTATGACTGTAGGCAGCATTCTCTGGTCGGATCAATGCTTCAGCAAGCTCATGGATGTTCTGAGGTATGTATCCGCCATTTGGTTGACGTGACCTACGCATCCTCATCCATCTTCTTTGTCCCTGCAAAAATGTATAATTGTTAGCAGCTTCTGGATATCTGAAAAAAAAAATAATAATAACAATTGAAAAGATGAGACATGAGTGAGCATAGGTGGTTAGGTTAATTGTCTAAACCAAAAAATTATAATTATTATAAATAATACAAATCTTTTTGGCATACTTTAAGGTTATTTACTTAAGTATTTTGTTTTTTAAATTTGTTTAACATACTTATTTATTTTACTAAATTGACTAATTATATTTTTTTAATAATACAAATTATTTATAATAATCAAATAATAATATATAAATAGGTATACAATTATTTAAATCAATTAATCTAAAGATACAGTACACATATACCAAATTTTTATTATTTTTTTTTTTTTATGATACCTAGGTATAAATATGGCAATAATCATATTAAGTTAAAAAATCTTTAACTATTTTAGTAAAAGGCATATGCAGTGAGCATATAAGGAATTAAATACTTATAAATTCATAACAGAAAGTATATATTTTAGATGTATTATGATTTATAATAATAATATGAAGTTAATTGATAATTATTGTACAATGAAAGGTACATAATTACATAATTTATACCGGCTTGATTTATTTTTATATGAAGCATACAATACATAAAAATGTTCACTATAAAAATAACTCACTCTTTACATTATTAAAAATATAACTATAATCATATAAAATTAGAGAACTAAGTGTATTATTGTATTAAATAACCATAGTGAGGCTTAACAATTTTATCATAGTATAACTATAATACACATTTCTTAGTAGCTCAATTGCAAACATAAACAAATGAAAGTAGGCAAATACCTACTACTTAAAAAAACAAAATAGTAAAATTAAATATTAAATCATTTAATCAACAACTTACTGAACAATGGCGTTGTTGTATGCAGTCCTAACTGATACAGACATGTTTTCAGGATCAATGCTTCTTGCACCAATTGCTTCTCTTAGGAAAGGTACATGTAAATCTATGTCAGCAGGCCCATGGTTATGTTGATGTCTAACTTTTATCCTGTTGTCAATCAGTTCTGTACTCACTGATGCTGTACAAGGGCAATACTCATGATACCTACTTTTTTGACGCTCACATACTAAATACACACGGTTGATTGTGGCTTCACGTTTGTAAAACTTGAAACCTAAATTATCCACATAAATCCTTGATCCATGATGAACACCTGGAATCATTCTGTAGGTTAGTGGTACCTGATTCAAAGGGTTTTCTTCAACTAAATCTTCATCTTCAAGTACTTCTTCTTCGATTACTCCTTGTTCCACTTCATCCAGTTCTTCAATGGGGTTGTTCTCATATACAACTGGCCTAAAATAATCATGGTCCAATAAATGAACGGGAAGACCGATTTCTTCCTCGATATTCATCATATTTGTAGACTATAAAACAATTAAAAAACAAAGTTAAAAGTGACGAAGTGCGACAGAACGAACTAAGTCGGTGGTATGACCTA